CAGAATGTGTGAGGACAGTGTGATAGTGGCGTTTGCTGTCAGGAGGAGCAATGTAGATTTATTATCCAGAACAGGAAGTTCAATTAGCGTGCAGAGCCTAATGAAAAACAACAACCTATGATTTACTTGGGAGAAGAGTGCCTCGACGATTACTGAACTCTTTTCATCAAGTGGTGCTAGAGATGAAAAGTTGGGGACCAATTCTGGCCTTAGAGCTAATCTATTTACAATTTTCCCAAATTGTCGAGGTGTATCAAGAATGACAGGCGCTATAAGAGACTATCCGCATGGCAAATTTGAACTGTGTCAATGTTGCATGTAGCAGAGAAGTTCTTGCAAGACGTTTTTAATTAATCCGCAAAACATGGAGCTCCTAGGACAAAAACATGGAAAAGGGTATTATAGGCAACTGCTCTACTATCTTAGTGTGAAGTTTATGCGATGTGAGATCATCCGTCTGTGTTATGCAACTGACTTGACAGTGATAAACGATCTGAACATCCAAAGTCTGGGAGTTTATTGGTCGGAAACAACAAAAAGCAACAATGTTAACCATAATGATGACAAATGGATTTGTTACTCCCGTTGCAGTGGCTATTATGCAATCAAAAACTCACGCAGGAATGCTCCCTCAATTCCGGTGTAAAATCGGAGCCAAAGTTGCCTCCGGCGACTCAATTTGTTATCTTTTTTCGTTCAGCAAGTGAAAGTAGTTTTACTCGGATGAGCATGGGTACTAGTGCCGCTGGATGCGGCGCTGGCCGAGGAAAGCAAATTAGGGTAAGTGAAGGCGCGCAAAACGACCGCCACCCACTGGAAGGGGAGGAGAGGGAGGAAGGGAAGGCGGGAGGAGAATGGCAAATGCACTGCTTAAAATAGACTCAAGTGTTCATGCCACAGTTGGTGCGATTGGCGAAACAAGACTACAGTAACAAATTAGAGAGATGAAAAAAATCCTTCCCTGCAGTCTTCCCAGGGTAATACGATTAGATCGACTCAATATCACTCATTGTGTTATCATTGTCTTGATGAATTTTATGTCAGGGAGGCGATAAAATGGACTGGGTGGAAGATGACCAATTGGGTGCTCAAGAAAAACAGCATTATGTAATTATTATGTAGCAATGAACGAATAAACTTGTGCCTTATCTACCTGACGTGTTCGTGATCAGCTACTTACTGAAAAACAGTAATTTCTTATTCCATTCCCACATAATTCTTGTTTTGTACTGCCTCAAAGATCTGAATACTTCCCAATGTTGATCAAGCGCATATAATTAGGTCGGAGTTTGTAGACCATAGCCCGTATTTTCGCAAGAGGATGAAGAATAAGGTCCCTCATAACAATGGCAAGTTGTTTAAAAACCACTTCCACAATGTGAACATGTTCGAAAAAAAGGGACCACGTTTTATCCGCAGTGCTAAGAAAAAAGTCAACGAATTTTGAATTAAGACTATGTTAGAAACAGGATACACTACTACTGCTTCCACCCTCTTGGTATTCTAAGAGAAAGTGAGGAAGTGAATGAAGAGAAGGAATTCAGAAACAGAAGTTTTGATTCAGTTCCCCAAGCCATCCATGAAGTCACAACTCACCAGGTGGAGGGATGCTGAGGACGACGACGCAGTGCCTCCTCCTCCTCCTCCTCCTCCTCTTCCTTCACCTGAGGTGGCAAAAGTGAAGGGATTACGGGCGGAGGTGGAACAAGGATGAGGAGGCGGGGTGACGGCCTCGGTCGCGAACGTGGAGGCCTCGCGGCGCCATAGAGACCGTGTGCGTAAATCTCCTCCAGCGCGGCGTCGGGCACAAGGTAGCGCACCGACTGGCCCCGTGCCAAGGCCCTTCGTACCAAGGTGGCACTTAGCCCGTTCTGGCACCACTCGGTCGCCAGGATCACGTTTTGCTAACGCAAGCCAACAAAAAAAGCCTAATATTACAGTCAATGCTGCTGTAACCTACGTTTTAGGATGGTCTGGAATTTAACCCACCTCAACTACGACCCTCTCAGCTTTATACACTCCTAAGAAAGCTACCTTCAGATGAGTGTGCCTCGATGCGTCCCGATGAATGACTGGGAAGGTGCATTGATGGCAGCGCTAGCAAGCCCACTCTAAATGAAGGACAATCGCACCTTCCGCAGGTGCCATGCCAAATCAAGACGTCAAAAAATGGCAGCATCAGGTGCGAGTGGTTGAATCTACCCAGACTGACTGAGGAAGGAATGCTGAGATCGTGAGCATCAGTGTAACGAAAAGGGGATTTCAACCGTTTAGAATTTCGTTGCGAACACAGAAGTTAATGATCATGAAGTGAGGACATGCAATTCCTTTCCCATATTGCTTTTATGCAAATATTCCCACAGAAAGTGACCAATGTACGGAGTGAGCCTAATGTAGGATGCTGTTTGCCATTTAACACTATATCCAAAAAGAACCTCCCCATGGTAGAAATTACCTAACAGAGAATATGATACCTAGGAATACCATCAAGGTTCACGACAAACCCTACCGCAAGTGAAATAAAAAGGAGGATTTGCGCCATGAATCAACTTCCTCAAATCATTTTCGGTACCGCATTGTAGTTTATTCAAGTGCACTGGAAAACTCGTGATTGTGGAAGCAAAAGTGTAGCCACAGAAGGCGTTTAAAAACAGAATCACGTTGATTTGGATGGTAAACTTCTTTATCTGGATCTTTCCTGACACGGCTTGGGGTTCCATTCATGTCAAAATTCTCTCTAATCGTTCACAAGTTTATAATGAAGCTTCTTTTAAACTCTTTTACTTCACCATAACATCATACCACAAATCAGGGACTAAGAAGAGTTAGCTTCTTTTCCACATTGTACGGATATTTAGAGGGAAAAATAAGATAGCTTCTATGCACATCGTTCTGTCACAAATGTCACCACTTAATACTCAGATACAATGGGATCCAGATTAAAGTTTTACTCAGAATGCATCACTATTAAATGCGAGAACTATCACCATTCCCGTTCACGATGAAGTAGCATTGAATGTGATACTTTTGTGGGCAATTTCTTCGCCATTCCAATCCACCTGACCTTCAGGAGGGGCTGAGGCGACTATGCTCCGCAGTATCTCTAAGAGTTATTTAGAAATGGAGATCCACGCGATTTACGACTTTAATAATTCACTCACAGTAAAATTATTCGAAGGAATCGTTCGCTTAGTGAAGATTTTCTCCATCTTCTAGATAACTAAAATTAGCAGTAACAAGTTTCAGAGATGTTATCGCTTACCCGAAATCACAGCTGACAGAATGAAAAACCGTAACTCAGACAGAGGCTTTTCCACTTTCTTACTATGATGATTTTTGGAGTAAAAAAACTAATCGGACCAGCCTTGAACTCCTTGTGTTTGGGCAAGAGTGGATAGTGGATTGCAAATTTGACACGCCAGGGATCATATTTAGACTCCAATTATTGGTGAAAAACAACTAGATGTTATTTGAAAGTTTCATAGGCGTCATTTAAAAACAGTATTTAGACCATTTTAAAAAGTTGGCCACATTTCCGATAGCCTACTCAGCGGACTGCGGCACCAAACACCGACCATTCCACGTTTTGAAAGAGATCAACTTTATGGGTAAGCTGGCTTAAACACCACATATTCAACTATTCGCATTCGAGTACAAAATTAATTGAAAGTCATTAGAGGCGCTGCAATACTTCAAATTGCTTCCAACTAATTTCTGCTCACCCACAGCCATTTCAGCATGAATTAGAGCAATGGAGGGAAGGAGGGTGAGGGGGAAGTTAGAGCAAACCTTTTAGTGCCAGAGAGTGAAAGTGCACAATTTATGGCGAATCACATGGATGCTCCAGGGCAGAAATTTAGAAGGTGACTCAACTTGCTAAGGCATTGCAACTTTTCAAGTCAGCTAATCCTAAATCCGCATATGCGCGCCTCATGGAAGAGAATCATGCAGACTGGGACGTACAAGGATGATAGGAAAACCTGGATCTTAGAATCCCAATGATAAGATAATGAGGTAATTCAGTTTAGTAGCACCGCAGAGAAGCAATTGACCGGTTAAGTAACCTACGACCAAAAAACTTCTGCACTTCATTTAAGAAGATTCAGGCTTTTATTGTAGGGAATCAACAGCCGTGCCCAACGTGATACCCATTAAGTGTATCCAAACTTACCAGTCAGCAGGTGTGCCACAGGCGAGCGGTAAAGCAAAGCCGGAGCAAAGTAAAAAATGCCTAAATTTAGACACGTAGGCTATGTATGTCACACGAGAGCAGTGGCTGCAGCTGGAGAAGTAAAGAGCCAATGGAGCTTAATGAAAGTCGACATTTATTCTTGCCACAAGAAGGGAGGAAAGTGAGAGAGAGAGGCTTTTTACTTGTATTGACAAAAGTCCGAGTGCTATAAATAGGATGCGGGTGTGAGGGAACGTAGGCTGAGTACTACTGGACTAACCTCATAGCGAGAAAGAAGGTCCATCTCGTAGAGGAGACGGGCGGCGTTAGAACCGGGTCGGCTTATGCAGACTATACCGTAATCGCGTACTAATGCAGTCATCTGAAAGAGCACAACGAAAAATAGTACATTTAAAAATAACATGGTGAAATTTTGATTTGTGAGCACAAACCTGGAGCATTAATTCTACAGTGGTCACTCGATACTGGGTGGGAAAAAGAGATGAATTGTTCAATTTGAGATTCTGGAATAAAGTGACTGCCACAGTCCATGAAAGATGCGTTCTGTTTAAAGTTACGCTACTTAAAGATTAAAACGAATGCAATTACCCCACCCAGAACACGAACACCCAGTGGCATAGCTCAGCCCAGCCGATTAGCATAGCACATTTGTGACGCTGCATAGCAAATGTGTGAAACTCGAACTGTGAAGAACAACTTGTAAAACACCGAACATAAATGAAAGAAAGACAAAGTGGTTTCGCTAATCACAAATTTAATCTACAATTGGGTACGGAAAGCGTCAAGTAGCGACAACGTGAAAACACAGAACAGCGATCAAAAATGAATGAAGTAGGGCGACTGGACTGAGTTCCATTAATTTCGATTCCGATTTGTGTCTGGTCGTCGCACAAAACCCATCTAGTAGTTGGCTCCAATACTGCCTGACTGAAACATTGACCGCTGTTTTGAATTTGCTGGGAGAGCAAAATGTTACAAAGTACGGAAAAATGAGGCCTCAGAGTAGAATCTGATTAAAGCCCACGTCGTCCCGGTAACACTTCATAGAGTTGTTCCGGAACAGAGGAGGCCTCAAAACAGACTGTGATTAGCATCTACATCGCCCATTCCAGAACAGAGTTGAGAAAGCAAAATCGGTCCATTTATTGTAAATCTTTTATCAATTTTTGAAAATAATGGCATTGAGGGGATTCAGATACGCATCATAGAAAACAGCAGGAACTTCTACATATCTACCGTCTTGCAAAGGGCAAAGCCGTTGACACTGCAGAAGCAGGCGGAGTGCGCATAAATCCACTTAAGATGCTAGTTGAAAATGGAAGGTGACCGAAATAAGCTTATGTGGTTTTCGGTGTACCTCGCTCCAATGATTACTCGTGATTTATGGGCATTCGCAGAATGTATCCAAAGTTTTATACGCCTGCATTGCAAAGCATGGATGAAATCGCGTCAGACTGTCGTTGCGCTACACCACTCTTGGTCGGTACTCACTATTCGCCACTTTCTGCATATTTTGCACCCACTCAACTTTCATCAGATGTCGATGGAACGAACATTGTGTGATTCTGGCTTGCGCAATTTAGGCATCGAGTTTACCTCGATTCTAATGCTACGTCTTGGGAAGGCACTTTAGTAGAAAATACCACCCAAAAAAGGTTTTAAATTGAAAGTCTGCCTAAGAATGACTCAAGGTTAGATGCATCATGTTTAGATGGACCCTCCATTCTCAATGATGATTTTCGTACAGCTATTGACTGAAGGAATTCGAAATTAACGTGTCAAAAAAGGATTATTTGACGCGATTGACTGATAAGAAATGGTGAAGTGACATATTACTGACTATCCTCACCACCCCACACTTTTAACGTAACACATTCCCTCCAGAAGCTAAGTTCATCTTGCATATTTGGTGTGCCTCACACCACTACAAACATATTGCTGAAAGCCAAGCAACAACTACAGCTGGGAACTACCTACTCAACATCGAAACAACTCAAACGCTCACGAAAAAAAGCCTTCAGAAACAGCTATGCTGCAGATACCTACAATTTCAAAAAAATTCCCATGTTCAATTTCATAGAACCCTCCATTATCGCAGGTAATTCCCGATCATTCCGGTAAACGCGGCCCTACTCACTTTCTTCTGATTCACTGAGACTGGGTTCGGATATGCCTTCAGCGCACTAATAGTTACTATAGGTCAGTAATCATCTATAACCAAGCCGACCGAGTAGCCCAGACCCAGACGCAGTCACTGATACTCTCCAAAAGCCCTCTTCTGCCAGCATTTAAACCCGTACCCCCCATGTCACCTCTGTGTCGACTCGCCCCAGTCAGTCAATTAAGACATCTGACCTTAGGTCTTTCCCATGAATTATCGGGTCGGTGGCCTCAATATGATGCAGTTTAAACCTAACGGCTCAATTTATAACGTATTTGAAGTTGGACTGCTCTAAGGAGAGTGTGGTGTCACATATATGTGACCCTAGCAGTCAACATGCCAGGATTCGGTGATTTACCAAGTGGACATCATGAAGGCGATTGAAAATCATGTTATGTAAAGGCGCTCAGACAACTGAAAGTAGCTAACCCTAGATGCAGCATTACTGTTAATTGTAAAACACATCTGACCAAGAAAAAAAAGTAGTAAGAAAGGGATTGGTGAGAGAGAAATGGCAACTTGTAGTAAAAATAGCACAATTCATGGGACCGCATGAAATCTACCAAACCCGATCAATCATCCTTCCTGGTCGACAAAAAGTCTATTAGGTAGTCTAGGTAAGGTTCCAATTTGAGGAAACAGTGTTGATATGTGTGGAGTAAACTGATCGTGTCCTTGAGAACGCAGACTCGGGTACACTGGGGGGGAGAAATCCTTAAGAAGGCATGGAGAACGGTAACATTTGCAATGGAGACAAGCAAAGAACACAACACAATGAAAAAAATAACACAATGCATCGACCGAAAGTCCGTTTTCGATAGAGTTTAAAAGGGTATTGTGCTACTATGGTAGCTCATAATGAGCAATGTGGGAGAAAAACCCACTGTACCAAGGGTATTCTTATGACCAAATTTACACAATACATTTTCAGATCAACAATCATCGCAAGTCCACTATGACGCCCTGCTTACATTGGCCTCAAATTGAGAGCCGCAGCGAACTGGCATTCTACACTATCCAGGAGTATATTGTAGCAAAAAAGATAGGTTAACTCTTCAATTAATTAATCAGTTAATTCCTTCACTCCATTTTTGAAAGAAAAGAATACATCATGAACGGTGGCAGAATGATCTTGGAATTTTACGCTGCTGGGCAGGTCTCGCCAGTCTTCCACGAAACGGACCCAAAGATCATTTCGAGGAGCCATTTTTTATAATGCTTTCAGAGGCAGTTTGAGCTCCACAGAGCATCCAAAGTAGACCGAGATAAGCGGGTCGTGGTTGGTAAACGTTAAGATGCAATAAAATGACATTTGCAGTCAAATGAGAGAACCGTTTCAATCTTTTACGATATATCCCTCACGGCGGTGGTTTGGAGTCATCCTCATATAAACCCCAATCCTTTTAATAGCGCTACTTCTAGACTCATACTCTCCATAATTCATTACCCTAAGGAAGATTAGATGATCAAATCTTAATCCACTGGACTACCAGAAAGTCATGATGTAGATGGGCAAATTTAACTTTTGTTACGTTTCTCTAGCTGACGATATGATCGGTGAAAGCGAGTAGAAAGAGCAAAAGAGTAAACTAACATCGTCCTCCGACCAAAGATTGGGTGTGTTGAAGGACTCGAGGAGATCTGCACCACAGACGAGCTTAACCCGGACTGGGAGCAAAGCGGAAGGAGCAGAAAACGACGCGGGATATTGCCGACGGCCACAGCAACACCGACCACTAGGCTGTGCTTCTTCCGCAGCCTCCGCGTCACGGACGGCGCGCAGGTGCGCTGCCAGCCACGCGTTTGTCGCAGAGCCACTATGCATCGTTTTTGCCGTCTTGTCATCCTCTCCCTGCAAACCTGCGGTGTATTTAAAAATGTGCTATACTTGCGAATATGTACACAGTTCCGATCGCATCCTCTACGTTATAAACATCCTCTCCGTGCCATCGGTTTCGAAGGTCCCATAAATACAAATAGCTTTGAGACAGTGAAAGACCGCAGATAAGGGGTTGCTCGGAGGACCGGGACTTTGTTAGCGGCCCTTTTGATTAGCTAATTAGTAATTACGACTGAAATCAGTCTTCCTGTCCCGCTGCTTAAGGACTCAACGAGTTTCAATATCAGTTGTCTTAGAGTTCTCCATTAGCGTCTTGTCAAATCAAGGACTTCCTGGAGCCAAAGTAAAAGGTACTTGGTGCACTAACCAAGACTTAATCAACACGATTCGCCTTAGACTACAGTGAAAGTTCATAGAGAAGAAAAACCTCTAAAAGAAAAAATTCACCCGAGATTTCGCCAAGCCGCGGATCCTCGAAATCATTCGGATCGAAGGTCGCCGCTTCTGTCCCTACCGCTGCCACGGACTCACCACCTTCAACACCATCCAGATGTTGAAAAATTCGGCGCATGCGCGCCTGGATACGTTCGAGAACGCATCGGGTAGGTGTCCATTGAGTGCGAGAGGCCTCCCAGGAGTCCACAGCCAACCAATCAGAAGTGGTGGCACAGGCTAGGCGCGCCAGGCGGCAGCGAGACGCCGCTGAAGCCAGACCCTCTTTCGCGTAAGCGTCGGATACCGGAGATAGGATGCCCACCACCACCACTTGACGTCGGGGCTTAAGCAGGTGCTGACTGGGTAAAGAATTTCCCTTCTTCCTCAGCCCTTCGCCGTCATCTGTCTGAGGCAGTTTCTGTTGGTGATGCTGCTGCTGAAATGACCATGTTTTTTCAACGGCGTCTCGTGCTAACTCTGAATCGAAAAACAAATAAGATCGATACGCTTAATAAAAACATTTGCATTAACCAAGACCCTTCCATTGCCTAGATGATAATTGGAAGGCTCTCCATCTCTACTGATTTTTGTGGCAGTTTACTTACGTCGGCGAGCACGCATTAACACCGGCAATGGAGCAAAGACAATAAGCGGGATGTAGCTGCTTTTCTACTTCATTATTAACCTTTCAAACAATCAGTTTTTTACTACGCTTCAGCAGCGCCATGTTCCAAACTGATTTCATCCATGAATTCTATGGGATTTTCCGCAATTGCGTGTTACAAATAGTTCTGTAAACAGGATTAACGTGCTAGTCAACAGTCCAGTGGTAGACCACTAAATGCCACACGCTTATGCACAAGGTCGTAGGGTAAACGAAAATATGACCAAAATAACCAACAGCCTCTCACAAACAAGTATACATATTAAAACACCACACAAAGGTGCGATCAGTTAAGAAAGACCGATTCCGCAGTTTTAAAAATCGAAAGAGGAAATAAAAGGATTTGTGTATAAGAAAAGTGGGACTCAAGGACCTTTACTAGGTAGACTTGGCCCAAGGATCCATTAGGTTACTAAGCCTGGGATATCACTGGAGGATTTGGGTCGGGGTGAGGATGAGGAAAATAAGTTTTTTTTGTAAGTCACCGCTTCAACAACGACGTCCTTGGTCTTTTCGAGGTGAAATCTGCAAGATGACTTGCTTGAGAGGTGACGAAAATAAATTTAATCACCTGACAGCCTATTCGTCAAGTGTGCCTTTGATCTCTGTACATTTTTCTGTAGACAAGTGAAACAAGCAATCACGGTAATTCCTTCAATGAATTGCCTTTCATCCCGTCAATAAAATGCTAAAGGTAGCAACGAAAAATTTGTCGATTCCCAGGAAAAAAGGGACTTCTATCACTGATAACTAGCATGAATTATTTGTCCAAACTTCGAATGTGGGAAATGGGCAGATGTTTTTTTTTACTCGAGAAACAAAAATGTTATGCTCTTCTGACAGTTTGGAAATTTGAAGAAAGCCCATGATGCATATGGTACTGCAACAATCAAGAATATCCCAAATTAATGGTTCGCAAACCAAAAAATAGGTACTAATAGCGATGGAGTTATCCTTTTCGACTACAAAAGCAAACGAAATTCGCTGCCAGTTTTGAAGTCTTTAAGATAAACTAACTTTCTGGTAATTAGCCACAACAACAGGAGACTAATTTGAACTGAAGAATGCATTCAAGGGTCCAGCTTTGCATCTTACCGCTTCCTGAAAAGAAGTTGAGTTAGCTAGCTGGAGCTCAAAAACCACGTGCATGAAGGCAGGATCAAAAGTTTGGTGGTACAATCTGGATTCATGCCAACATTGGCTCACAAAAGGACTAACCCCTGCTAAAAATAGATGCGAATTTCAAGAGTCCCTTTCAGCATGGCAGCTTTGGTTTTTTCTAGGTATAAGTGAATGGAAGAGGCAGATAAAAGGTCTACAAACTTCATTTGACTTGGTTTGAAAGTGAGCGAAAGAAAGAAGGTGTGGGCTTATTCATTACTTCTTTGCATTCCACTGAAATATTGACTTCTCTGTTTGACTCATCGATACACTTTTTGAAGAAGACTCAAAATAAAGCCCCGGAGCGATGAAATGAGTGTTAGCACTTCCCAGACGTTCAAAGGCGGCGTAGGTGAGAATGCATTCGCGGTAAGCAGTGAATAGATTTCACCTTTCACCTTTTAAACGAAGCGGCTAGCCGCTCTTTCGCCACGCCAACTGATCGCATTGATAGAGACTGCTCAAAGCGGCTTCACCCATGTGGCGAAATTCATGTGCGTTCTCAAGCGCTGCTAACGGTAGCACCGCACGCAATGCCAAAAGGGCTAAAATTCACTCACAAGTAACTTGAACGCCGACTCTGGTAGGAGGGGAATTAAGGCTGGCGCAGACATAGAGCGACTGGATTATTTAAAAAAAATACTGGGCTTTGCACCATGGATTGGATGCAACCTTGACACTTATTCACACGGTAATTCAGTAGAATCTTTTGGCTAAAATATGCTTAATTAGAGCCACGATCATTGAATTAAATACCAATAACGCTCCGGTTAGTCTTATGAATGAAAGTTCCGAAATAAGGGATGTAAAATATATCGGCTATTTGGTAGTATAATCAAAACGGTCCAATGTTTAACAAACCCCACGAGGTGGGAACTTTAAATCAAGCCACGGTGTAAATTAGGGCGAATGGAATAGGCAAGTGTTTCTGGACTCCATAACACCGATCTTGTCCTTAAAGGGAAGGCAAAAACATACTCGACAGTAAGATATTTTGCGAAAAGTGGAGTTCTTCCAGCAATCCAAACACAACAATGACAAACTACCTACAGGAATGCTTAACTAAGGTTCTAGAATTAATGCAGTTTGTCGATCAAGATAAAGGAGATGGTTGTCAAACTCTGCACAGTTGAAGTCTCATGTGTTCCAACAAGACTGCTTCATCACGCTGCCTGAAAGACTCTAGTTAGGCCTCCTAATTATCCTGATATGGCCTCCTTGTGGGTTACAAGGTTTGGAGCCCGTGGAAAGGTTGTGAATAAACATGCCCACGATACCAAGGATTCATTGGAGAATCCTAGTAAGATCATGAATAAAAATACATAAATAAATCATTGTAACGGAAGGATTTTTAAATAGTAGATTCACCCACGAGGATCCTTCTGCCTCAGTGGTTCTGCTTCTTGTGACTCCTGTTCGCACATTATCAACCCTTCTACCCACTTACAAGTTATTTCCAGACCCATACGCCTTATGGGCTGATGGTGGAGGAAAGAGATGCTAAGTCATTTCAGAAGCCTTACTAAGCTATAGTGAAAGGTAGCAGGGGTTTTGCTAAACAATTTCCACTACGATACGTGCACCTACTTTAATGATAACTCACAGGTCACAAAGACCATCTTTGTGGTTTCCCTCAGCCTTAACTACCTGTGTGGGAAACAGTTGCAATAAATACGACCGCTCAAGCCAAGACACCAGAAAGGGGAACTGTTTTAGGATCAAGATCCACGTATTTGCGATGCGAATAATCAGTGCACGTGGATGCGTTCCTTGGGTGAACGTCCGATGAAACGAGCAGAGGGCATTTCTATTATGACCAGCTACCCCAAAATATGCCTATAATTTGTGAGAATTCGTGCACAAATTGATGGCATATGATGGAGCAGACGATGCCAACTGGTTAAGATAGTTGAAAAGCATCGGAAATCTGATACACGTAGACGATAGCTCTCTTCTTTGCTAATGTTGCTGTGATTAAAAAAAGCCGAGAATATTCTATTTAATTTGCATGCCTTAAAGATGGTGGTGAAAAATAGTAAACAACACTGGCGCACAAAAAAGGGAATGGAATAAAACACCACTTGCCAATTTTCACGAGTCGTGCCAACTCGGGAGGAAAGAACATAGTTTGTGCAAAGAATTCTCGAACTTTTTTAATCAAATCAGCCAAAAGAGTAGGATGAGAACAATGCCAATTTATAGAAAGACTATTTCGAGAATTCGTAAAGCAATGCAGTACAAAAGATTTCCAAAATAAAAATCATATTGCCTGCATTTTGATCCCTGTAGTAAATGACAGACGGGTTCAAAATCTACTTTCAATGAGTCCTTTCAAAACGAACGATTTATTTAACGAGTTTCGACCCACTTAGAGGTCACAGTTAATTCCTTTACCATGGGATGGGGAATGCGAACCGGGTCAAAGCACCAAAAACAGGCATAACGCGGCCGGCACACCATGTCGTTAATACCATGACAGGTAGTGATTGACAGTTACACTTCAGCCTCCCAGTCCGATCCCTCCCGGATAACATCAGCCAATAGCTTCCCCATCCACGGGTTTCCTTCTAGTGCTATTCACCTATCACTGCGAATGTGCGAATGTTCTTTGCTGGTATTTCCACCGAAAAGTTGCATGAACATAAACTTGCTTATAATTGAGAATTACAAAGGTCATGCTTGGTGATTTAGAAAATGATAGACAAAAGATTTCGTCACTCCGATATTTTAATTATTTCCTAAGGAGAATTTCAATTACAAATCTAACAGCTATTTTCCATCAGCGTGTTTGATCGTATTTTGAATAGAGAGCTAAAAGCAAGCTAATCATAAAAACACATCAGTGTTCGTCCAGAAAAAGATTCTGGAAATGTTGATCCCAATTAACACCCCCCCTCTCTGTTAAAAATATGTAGGCAATAAATACTTGCCACCAATCATTGTTAAATTGCTACTAAAGGGCAAATGCGCTTGCAAGAAGCCGAAGGTGATCCAATGCCCTCAGCACTGCACTTTCACCGTAACTAACATAATTTTTCTTGACATTTAGAATGAACTTTGTCACGAAGACGAATGTCTACTGCAAAACTTCACACACCTCTGTTTGTGGAATTTCACAAAGGCGTCAGAAGGTGCCAATAACCGCAACTATTACAATTTTCACCCTCATTGGCAGGCAGTTTTGGGGGTGCGGAGCACAAGTTCGAAAAAAAAGAGGAGGAATAAAATAATCAATCCTTTTATCTGCCATAAGCAGATGGGAGTCCGAAACGGGCAGGCATGCATTTATGCTGACGATTCTGATTTGTGCCTCAACATTATCATCCCACTAATGACGCGCGTACAACTGACTTCACAGAGTTAATCGAAAATACGACAGCGATAACGCACATACCCCCAAACAAGTTATTGCGACATCGAAACTCGCGTGAATCTCAAACGGTATGGAATCTGAGGAAATTCCTAAGAGGAAGTTTGTTCCTCATTTACTCACCCATCATACGAAGATGCATAGTGGTGATGGGGTTGAATGATCCGCACGCGACGAGGACCACCGGCTCAGGAGCTACCGAATGCCAAGAACAGTAGCAACGGCAGTCGCAGGGGTGCGTCGGCAGCTCACCGCTTCCTTCACTCCGCTCCACTTTGACGGGTGGGGGAGGTAGTAGGGGGTCATTCTCCACCGCTACTACCAACGCCTCTTCATCCTCCTTTTCGCCCTTACCCAATGGAGCAGACAATGCGCCTTCCGCAGGCTTTAATTCCCTCGGCCGCTTTAAACGAATAGGTGAGCCCCGCTCGGAAGACATCGCTGCCGATTTGACTGCAGGATCGCGCGGCGATGTAGAGGTAGAAGATGAATAAGAGGAGTAAGAAGAGGAAGAGGTGGTATTCTCCGTAGATGAGTAGGAGGAGGAGTCGTACGAAGATAAAGTGTTAGTGGTAGTGGTGGAGGAAGAGTGTGTGGAAGAGCCATTGAGAGAGGAAGATGAGTAGTCGGCAGATACAGACTTTGCACTAGAGTCAGAGGTAGAAGAGGGGAGGCTACGGGCTCGTCGTTCGCTGTCAGCTGCAGGAGGGACGGTAGCAGTGGTGGGAGCAGCAAAGACCACAGTATCTAGGGATGTGGGGCTGCTGGATGCAGACTGATTACTATTCGAGCGCGAAGGCTGACGAACATCCTGGCGACGCTCGTTCATTCTTCATGTAGTCATACTGCACTCCGTCAAACGCCTGCCAGGAGGAACCATAAAAGCCGTCACTCCACTCACTACTTTCACGCCATGCACTGTACAGATCGGCAACCAACCTGAGTGCGCATGCCAGGTCAGGGTCACTAAAGTGCATGCACATCATCCAGTCTAGTTTAGAGACACAAATAACTTAAACGTCGTGCACTACTCTCATGGCATTCGTCCTCAATTACTCTCACTGAAAACATACTACCTCGTCGGTTACCAGGGTATCCAAGATGATAGTTAAGCATCAGAGATCGGGTCTTTTCCCGCTTTCATGTGACACCAATTGTGTCCACTTTGTTCCCCCTTTCCACCTTAAACCATCTCCTTCCTGTTAAATGTGTCACCTAGGTGACGTGCGGGATTACGTAAGAAAATTGGAGTGCCAGATATATGTGACGTTAGCAGCGAACGTCCTAAGCTCTGTTGCTCTAGACGGTAGATACTCTTGCAATTTTGACACATCGTGGATGTTTAAAACCACCAATGCTTAGAATGATTAAAATCCGGAAACGGAAAAGAAAGTCCAAGCATGTTTAAACCACAGTTATGCATTGAAAAAGGAGAATAAAGGAGGAGGAAGAGACAGGATGAAGCAAATATTACACCGGAAAGAGGAAGTGATGAGTGCATCACAAACAACAACAACTTTTAATGGATGTGTATGGATTAGTTGAACGTCATGCAAAACATGATGAAAAAGAGGCAAAGGCCAAACTAATAAGTATATTTTTCGGTTTAAACACTTTGTACAATGGCGAACTATCAAGCAACCCCATCCGTCGTCTTCGTATCCCCGCCGTCGATGAAGGATGGGATGGTTTCAAAGGTGAGGAGATCGCTGGAAGAAACGGCTACCCTGTCATTGGTTTTTACAACCCCGAGATCCGCACCAGGAGGGATGTGGAACCATTCGATACGAAGGCCTTCAAAATCGCGTTCGCCCTCTGTCTTGAGAAGCGAGTAGCAGCGAAAAGGTTGGAGGTGCGCGATGCAAGGAACCTCCGCGATCCCGGCGCGTGGTTTCAGGGAACAGGAGAGAAAGGTAAGCTGATTGAGCACGTCACGATGCCAGTTGCAAGCGACCAAGCCCTCAGCTAGAGCGATTGGGCAGTGGGGAAGGAAGACTAAAGTTGGACGTTCTCTAGGAAGTTGGTATTGACCCTCCAAATTTGAGGATAAAATCTGTAAAAAATAGACGGAAATATATGTTGAAGTAATCACACACTTCCGAAGTGGACATTGCCTTCGGGGTTGGTTTCTATGCTTCAGTTAAGTTGATCTAGTCCTTTTCAACAATTATGTACAACACATTTTCGAGAAGAATGACAATAAAAGACAAATAACTTTACACCAATTAGAGACCCGTTTGTTTCTGGTTTTCGGACTAATTTATACCTTTCTACAGCATAAAATGGCCCATCAGAAGACAATGAACCAGTTAACTTTTACCCTCAAAGAACGGACTAGTCTAAAGTGATCCATTCTCATTGCCAAAGGAAATAAAAGAGGCGGGGGAACTATTCAAAAGCTCCCATACTAAATGGTGAATGAAATTGGTGTTTTGATGTCTTCGAGTCTAAAAACTACCTCAATGTGATTCCCAGCCTTAATTTCAAGCCCCCTGATTTATGAAAATGCACGCTCCAGATGAGGAAGCGTGTCCATGTCCAGGCAAATAAAAACCAGTTTTTTTTACTAATGGGATAATGTGCTATCCAAGAAGACGAATTAATAGAAGGTGGCCCAAATACCTTCACTCTAGGTAGAAAAATGTTTGCTCTTGGCAAAGGGTAAAACCCTATTCCAAAGACCAAGGAGTTTTCCTTATAATAATAAAACTAATAAGAACTGCACCCTAAAA